TGTTCTATACAGAGCTGCAGAGGCGTAGCGAGGGGGGGGGGGGGAACATATGTCCCCGGGCGCCGATCTTAGGGGGCGCCAAAATGGGTTGGAAAAATAAAGTGAAGCTTGAGGGGGTTGCAAATCGAAATCTTGAGGGGGGGGGGGGGGTGCAAATCGAAAGTTTGTCGCCGGGCGCCGGGAGGGGTCGCTACGCCTCTGCGGAGTTGTTATTGGAAGCAGATTGTGTGAATAGTAAGTGAAAGTGGAAATTTTAAATGAGAAGTAAGAATTGTAAGTGAGAAGTAAGAATTGTAAGGAGACTGGGAGTGAGAGTAATAAGTTGGAATTGGGAATTGTGAGTAGGGAGTAAGAAAGGGGATAACGGGGGTTGTAAGGAGATGGGGAAGAGTAGGTGGGAACTGGGGAATGGTAAGTGGGATGTGGGAACTGTAAGTGGGGAGAGGATTGTAAGGGGAAAGTAGACAATAAATTCTGTGAATTGTTTTTTTCAAATTTCCGGTCTGGTTTTTAGTAAAGACATTGATGCGGGACACTAAGATGGGGAGGAGGAGGTAAGGAGTGCGAAGATAAAAAAAAATCGGCTAGAATTGTGTGATGTCGTATATGAGCGACCCACCCCACTTCCCCAGGTCTAATAAGAAAGTTGGAAAGTGCTTGAGAAGACAAATTAAACAAATTTAATTTTATTGACTGGTCATGCGCCGATTACATAACTCGCATGGGAGCTCTGCCTATGGGGGCTGGGATAGCTTAAAACTCTTCTGATTTTTTTTTTTGTGTTACAGCTTGTTCACTTGCCTCATATTACTGCCCGGGGACAGAAAAAACCGGATAGATTTAGATCTAGATCCATATGAGTTTAAAAAAAAATTTAAACTAAATTTTAACAGATTTTGTTAAAAGTTTTTAAATGTATTTTTTTTAAAATTGTAATAAAAAGCTATTAGTACATGTAATGTTGACCAAGCTCAATTAATATTTTTTATCAAGTGATCGCTGTTTAAAACAGAAATTGCAAAAAAATATATAAATAAATAAACAAACATAAAAGAGAGCTGGGTAATGGCCTACTAAAGGGTGATGTCATTTATATTTTAGAGTAGAAACGATGTATAACAAAGGCAGTGGAAGTAGTGTCACAAGATAGGGACGGGAGGGTGCAAACCTATTATTGTTGCCGTCATAAAATGTTTTATTATGATTATTATTAAATTCAATAAATCAATAACAAATTAGCGAATTAATTTAGTAAGTCTCAACGTATACATCCGGTTAGACACGCACAAAATACGTGGCTAATAATAATTGGACAAAATATAAAATACAACCGGCGCAAGTGCTGTGTTGTCCTAACTAAATGAAAGCAAACTCCTTTTGTCTTTACTCTTTTGTCTTTATCAGTGGTTAACAACTTTATAGTTCAGCATATTGACTGTTAATAATTTTAAACTGATTACCGAGGTAAATTTTTAAAAAGTAAGCTTACACATTTATTACACAATACACACTTTAAAAAAAGTAGGATCTCATACTTTGGTAATCTATCGTTTTAGGAACGTAAAATCGCCCGCGACTAGATCTAGTAATGTGAAAAACGGTTGACTCCTTAAATTTTAATAATTATTTCACATTTTGAGGAGGATTTATGTCTTGAAAAATACAAATGTTTCCTTGGTTCATTTATGTACCTGTTTTTAAACAATTGAATTAAAACTTTTCAGTAATAAATGAAGACTATCGATGTTTTCATCAGATGCAACCATGCTCATTTACTATAGCAGCCATCTTGTTTAAGTTTTATTTTGTTAAACTTTTAGCAGAAGATTCAGGGGAAGCCACTCTATTTTACAAATAGCTGCAGTTTTATAATATATGGCAAATCTTGCTCGCAAACACTGCTGTTTAAAGTTAATTTATGGCCTATATTATATTGATATATTTAGCCATTGATTTTGGCTTATTACTCAGTTATTTATAATAAATGACACAAATATTTCACAATATACTAGTTTTTCTTACTATATGTGAAATCTACTCAATTCTCAATTTAAACATGACAACTGAATAAAAAACGTCCATACTTTATCCCCTAGGCACTAATTTGGGGGTTGTAGCGAGTTTAGGCTAAATTATTGAATTTTAAAATGTTTTGTCACTCACAGCTATGATATGACGGATCATCCATGACAACCTGGTTAAAAGTTGAAAGGTTTAACTTTTTAAGTGACCGTGAAATAGATCTAATTTTTTTTCACAAGAGAGTTCCTAAAAGTAGAACTGGCCCGTCTATCGTCGGGATATATTTATAGAGGAAAAAAATTTAAGAGAATGTCATCAGAAAAGAATTTTAAAAAAGACAAGACAGGAGTGATGTTTGAATTCTTTTATTTCTATAATTTTATAACATTTTTTATTGTACAAAAGAGCAAAATAAAAAACCATGCCAGGTAAACGTATCCATTCAAATAGCGGTCACGTGGTCAAAAAAAATAAAAAAATTAGGTTGTCATTTTTTGGCCACTCATATTAAAAAAAGGGTTGAAGATATTTGATTTATTTTTTCATAGAATGATAAAACTAATAATGCTTTACTAGGGAAATCAATTTTGTGATAGGGAGATCTATATTTAAAAAGTTATATTATTTTGAATGACACCGACTTTAAATTTAGCCTACATTCCCCAAAGCAATTTCTGAAAATGCTTTTCTGGCATATTTAGCCTTGCCACCTATAGCATGTTTTTATAACGTGAAAACCCGCCATTTTACTCGTGATAAACATTTTTAAAAGTAATTCTAAGAAGGTCTCTGGAACTAAGTCGAAAAACTCGCCGGAAGTCATGGCCCGATCCTTACGCCATGTTCTGGTTAGCAACCAAGGACGCTTTTAAGTTAGTGAGCCTCCCTACAATATACTTCTATTAAAGCCTTGACAATGGGGTAACTTTTTCGTACATTACTAGCCGCGGGCGATTTTACGTACCTAAAGCGATAGATTACCCATACTTTAATTTAATATAATTTTTATTATTTTTAGGCTAAATCTAGATAGATCTAGTAGTACTGTAGTAGTAGATAAGATAGTCTAGATCTAGTAGTAAAGTAGTAGTAGTAGTTAGTTAGTAGTGTAGGCCTATTTTTAGGGTCTAGTCTTACTTAATAATATTTAATACGAGCCGACCCACGGCATATGATACGCCGCTATTTAGAATCTAGTTGTTGTTTTTTCCACTTTTCAGTAATTCATAATTTGTGAATTCGACAGTACCAACGCTGCCACTGAAAATATTTCTTTAAAACACTATAAATAAGTAGCTGGTTAAGGACGTTAACCATTAACCCCCCCTCCTTCCCCCCCCCCCTCCGTTAAAGTAAATTCCACTTAGTTACCCCCCCCCCCCCCCCTCCCCCCTACATTTAAAATCGTTTCAAACTAAATTATCTGCCCCTAATAGTCGTCACTAAACCCGGCTCTTCTTGTAAACATTTAGCGTGAACCACAGCTCACCAGACTATGTAGGGGTGGGGGTGGTAGGGAGCACGCTTACAGCTTGTTTTCTAGCGTCTCCTAGAAGAGAATTATATATATAGATTAGGGCCTAAATATATTTTATTAAATAAGTCAGTCTCACGAGATTCTACTTATTCTAGATCTAGATTCGTCTAGTATAAGATTAAGTAATGGAGAGATTACCAACACAATTAATTAGTATTACATGTTAACTGGTTATGCTGCATATAGTCATTATTATAGTGAATAGTGCAATATGAATATAGGCCCATAGGCCGGTGACTCAGCTCTGATTTCAGCCGCTTTTCCTTTTTGGATTTGCTTCCATACTGACAGAGTTCCATAGCGTTTGCCTTTGTTCCACCAAGAATAAACTACAAGGCAGCAGTTGTTTTCATTTTGGAGTTGTCTCTCCTAGGACCTAGAAGACATCCTGTCTAACCTCATCTGCTTAATTAAGGGTTCGAACTCGAGAGTTTTCAGTTTTGCATCCATGAGCTTTACCGATTCCAATAAGCCGACTCAGTAAATCTAGTGATTCTAAAATCATGACCAAAACATTGGAGGAACAGGCAAAGACATCAAACGCAGAATAGGTCTGGCTCTACAGGCATCGCAAGAAACACTAAAATATGAATCTTTAACTCAAATGTAAAAGCAGTCCTGCTATATAGATCAGAGACATGGAAAGCATCAAAGGGAACTAAAAAAATAATCCATATTAATAAGTGCCTAAGAAGTATATTAAAAAAAAATGGCAAGACAAATTATAAAACAAGAAGTAGGTGGTATGTGGACAGGGACAGGAAACTATAGAAAGGCCGATCATGGGGAAGAAATGGTGATGTATTGAGCACACGCTTTGGAAGCATGCTGGTAGACTAGCCTTGGAGTTGAACCCTCCAAGGCAAGCAACGCACGCAGCGACCCAGGAAGACATGCCAACTTAGCATGCTAGAGGAGGCCCAAATGATAGGAAGGAATTGGGAACAGCTGAAAAGAGTGTCAGGAGTCTGTAGGGAGTGGAAAGCCTTGTGTTCCACAATCACCAGGAACAAAGGAAAAATGATGATTGTTAATGTAGTGTAGTATTCTACTAACTACCAGGTGGTCAAACTGTCTACTGTTAAGAAAATCTCTAATTTCTAAACTAGATTTCTGAGTTTAGTCACCTTTTTTTTTTTAGCTAGACAAGCCTCTACATTTTTATATCTAGATTTGGGATGTAGACTTTAGATCTACTATTGTAGATATCATGGCAGTGAAAACATTATTACACTGTGAATGTGATCGAGTTTGTATATAAAATGTATTGCATTGCTCATTCTAATTCCATGCTCTTTTTTTTTTTTTTTTGCAGTTTGTTAACTATGCATGAAGACATTAGGAAAGGCACAGAATAGGCAGATAAAATTCGAGTAAACAACACCTTTATGACTTTATAGACAGAAGATTGATTCTTCAAGTCTGAACTAATTCTCTATCAATGAATTTATCTGTGATTCAGTTCTCAAAGAAGTTAGAACATAATATATGTTTAAGGATGTGTTTGAATTTACAAAAGATGCTCTTTATTTTATGGGTGATACTTCTCTCTGTATCACTGGTTGATGGAAAGAGACATCCAAAATGCAGTATATGTAAAGAAATAGCGAATAACTTTCATAAGGTAGTGTCATTTATTTTTACCATAGTTGTTGTATGTAATACAATTTACGATATTGGATAAGTAAGCTATTAACTGATTTTATTTGGTTCTGTTAGGCCAGAATAAAATGCAAGTATATCTTTACTAAAACGTGTTAGAAGACTAGGCGGAAGATTTATTTATAACTGTTTTAAACAAATTTTAAAATTGTGTTTAGGGATTGTCTTCAACATCTAAGTCAAACTTTGGAGGAGGAAATACAAAATGGGAAGAGAAATCATTGGGCACCTATGCAACAAGGTAAAACTTTCAAACACTTTATTCTAATAAACATTGTGTTTTGACTTTTATTAAATATTAAAGAGCAGACTTTCATCACTCTCAGATTGTAGCTTGCTTCATTAACATATTTTGTCCTGTTGCTAAACATGTACATTCAGTTCTCTTAAATTTTTTTTTTATCAGACATCTTGTTGTGTATGCTAGATACAAAATTATTATTATTTACTTAAAAATGCTTTGTGTTGAATATTTTGGCTTGTAATTGCCCTACATTGTGAGGTGGCTGCAATTATTTTCTAAATTTTTAATACTTCAATAATTCTATAACCTTTTATTACTACCAACTATTTTCATTTCTACCTTACTAAAATAAAGTCTGACAGAAATTCTATTGCAATTTGAAATGTCAATCATAATTTTATTAACAGGTTTATTTAGGTTTATTTTAGATATTTTTGTCACCATGTATTATATTATGTATCTGTTAGCTTAACAAGAAATATATAACCTATTAAATCTTTCTATTTGTCAGTGAAGTGAGACTAACAGAAATTCTTGAACATTTGTGTGATGAAGGCTCCAAAGAGGTAAAAGCTAGATAGAATTTTTAGTTGTTTTTTAATTTAATTTCCAATTTAATTAAATAAAGCATTTTATGTCAAAAGAATGTATACCTGAGTTACTTGTAGAAACATAAAAAAAGCTAGATTAATATTACACATAACCACTTAATTAGTAGATTGATGATGAATTATGTGATCCAGTTAGGTGCTATTTTATTGGTACTGTCTAATTACATAATTTAAAAATATATTTTCATACATAAAACAATTTAATACCACAATATTTTGATTGCATTTTTTTATAATGGTGTTAATGTTTTCTTTTAAAAAATGTTCCAGTGCCATTCTGTTTTAGAAGAACATGAAGAACTTGTTGAAAGATTCTGGTTCAAGGAATTTGCTCAGAAGAAAGCCACAGATTTTTTTACATATATTTGTATAGAAAACATGGAAGGTACAAATTGTAGCCTTGTAGTGTTTTAATTACATGTAAAATAAGTAGTATTTCTAAATTTATATTTTGCTTGTTTTTATGAATATATTCACTACATCATTCAACATTTTCCAGCTTGCTGTCCTAACAACACCTATGGTGAAAAATGTACCCCATGCCCTGGTGGCATAAAACAAGCTTGCAGTGGGAATGGACATTGTCAGGTAAGATTGTGAAGAGAGTAATGGTAATATTTATATTTGTCTTTTGATACTTTTATCTGAGGTTAGAAATCATATTAATTATGTCTACTAATGAGTAGAACTAACATTTTAAATTTAATGATTTAATAATGTAAATCAATAAACTTTGTGGTAAATTGAAAACAATTGTAGGGTCTTAAAATTTTTTTTGTTGTATCTAAGGTATTGTTTATATTTCAGGGGGAAGGTACAAGAGAAGGAGATGGAAAGTGTAGTTGTAACTCTGGTTATAGAGGAGAATTGTGCAATGAGTGTAAGGATGGCTACTATGAGGAGTCAGCTAATGAATCCCAGCATGTTTGTAAAGGTAAGCTTCTGTTGATTAGTTTAATTTTTAGTGGATATTTGTTACTAAACAATTTAATATTAATTTGAATCTTTGTTAAGAGTATTAAAGCCAGGGAGAGATTGTGTGGCTTTCACTTACCTTAAATGTGTGGTGCAAAAAAAAAGGTTACGGAAGGTTAAGAAATCAGAAATTTATGTTGATTTATAAAAAATGTACTTTTTTTAAAAAAGGTATTGAAGCAAATATCTTATCTTACAAAATTTGTACATGTATTTTATACAGTTAAAACTGTATTTTTCATGTCAATTCATCAAAATTAATGGAAGAATAGTGAGTCTGTTTTCTGTTTTGCTGCTGTCTGCCATCATAGGAAGGAATGGGGTATTTGGTGTATTTTATCCACTATTGGGTTAGATATCTCTAACACTCGAAATAATCTTTGTTTTCAGTTTGTCACATATCATGCAAGGACACTTGTTCCGAGGGGGGACCTAAAGGGTGTGATGAGTGTAAAGATGGTTGGACAGCTGATGAGGAACTAGGTTGTCTTGGTCAGTGGTTATTTTTTAACATTAATTAAACCATAAAGTACTCTTATTTCATTTATAACTATCAAAATTCCTAGTAAAATGCCAAAGATTTATTTGTAACTGTAACTCTTTGAGCAGAGTATCACTAAAAGATTAGTTTTACTGACACCCACTTTCAGTTTAATTCACATTATCAATAAGTATAAAAATTAGGAAATCTTTAAAGAACCCCTGACATCAGTGTCAAAACTTTTTTGATTAAACTATAAATAGCATAAATGTGCACTATTTACTATTAAATGATTAAAAATATGTATGAATAAATGTATTCGTTTTTTGTTTTCAGATGTAAATGAGTGTTCAGAAGATCCATGTGATGAAGGCCAATTTTGTACTAACACACAGGGATCATTTACTTGTTTTAGTGAGTTTTTTTCCGTAACATTTCAATATTATTGCCTGATAGCATATTTGCCCAGAATTTTTTGTAGATCATTGCAAAATAGCTTTTTGTTTTTTTTTCCTTATTTATGCTGAAAATAATAGATACTTTCATTGTTGACTTATGACAATTTATATTTTAAAACCAACCTTCATTATAATGTTTGAATTATTTTTGCAGCATGTGATGCAGCTTGTTTGGCCTGCACTGGATCAGGAGCAGATAAATGTATAGAATGTAACACTGGCTTTACTCGTGATGAAACAACCCAAAAATGTGTTGGTAGGTTCCGTAAAAAATTTCTTTCATAAATCACTAGTTTTACATGACTTGTAAAGCAACAGATATGACTGCGTATATGAAAATTTGTTTTGAACCAATGTTTAATAGTATTTAATGGGCTTGTTTTGCAGATAATGATGAATGTGAAAAAGATGAAAATATCTGTCAAGGAGAAAATGTTGTTTGCAAGAACATTCCTGGAAGTTATGAATGTGTTTGTAAACCTGGATTTGTTATGAGGGAGGGAGTCTGTGTTCAAAAACCCAAAGGTGAGAGTCTTTAAGTTTCTTAGCACGTTTTTGACATGTAACTATCAACTCATATAATGAGTAGTGCCCCATGGATAACTCAGGCCGATGTTAAGTAATACTCAAAAATCAGTGTATGAAATAATCAAGGAATATAAAAATATTAATCTTAACAAATAACTGTAAATGCTTATTGTTTATTTCGTATCTAATTTTATGACATTCAAAATGCACAAAGCCTGTTTGTATATTATCAGTTATTTGTTGATGTTACCATAAAAATCGATCCAATTCATTTTTTTATTATACTATGTATTAACAGCTTGTACTTGTAAAGCCATGGTGATAAGGCTAATAATTCCTTTTAAAATCAACTTGTTAAAAATAATATAACAAAATATTTATTTTTTTGTTTTTATGCATGCAATAATTATATTTTTTTGCATGCCACTTGTTCGGTAGTTGCAAGAAATTGAAAATATTTCTACAACCTTTACAGAGAATAATTGTTTCCTATTTTTTGTGTGTATTAAAAAACAATTATTTAAGATGTTGATCTGCCTTATTGTGTAGTTGATTGTGAGATCAGTAGGTAGCACTGTATATTGTGATTTGATGTAACATATTAAAACAGCTTCTTATTTAGAAATAACAATGTAAAGCCACTAGTTTCTTTAAAAATAGTATTTATTTTAAGAACTAATTTTTGTGACAACTTCAAAAAACCAATTTATTTTTTTTTAACCTTCTGGTATGATCTAGTTCTGACTACTATGATAAACAACACAACTAGAAGTGTGTAATTATGCTCACTTTCTAATAAATACTAAGGTGTTAACAATTTACTTTAGATATTTTTAAAAAAAAATGTAACTATTCTCTACTTATTTGATATTCAGTTGTAATGTAAAATGTAACATTGAACAGTTATATTGTTAACTTTCAAAGTTTGTTTTTGTACATACTTTATCTTTGGTCTTGAAATTAAATGTAATTTGAAGTATGTGTTGGCCTATATATTAATGATGAAAGACATCAGTGATGTGTTTTGATTTGACACTGTTATACAGAGATTTATCCAAATAAATTGTAAAACATGTTTAAAGAAGTACCAGTAACCTTTTTAAAAAAAAATAAGGGTAGTCTGACAAAATTGATTAGATGCAGGAATTAGCATTTTTTGTCATTCATATTTTGATAAAGTTATTTCCCCCACACAATTTAATTTATAATTTAATAGTTTGCATCCTAGATAGATAGCACATTTTCCAGCTTAAAAATCTGGTTTTGTAGGATGTTTTAAAGCTGTATTTTTTGCACAATTTGTTATTCACTGTGCTGCTGTTCAGTGTTTGCTACTTAGTGTAGGCTAGCACAGAAGTAGTGTGTGCTGAAAGTGTTGTTCCCCTTGAGTTAGAATGAGGTAATTTCCATTCTTTTATCTTACTTTACTCTTCAGAAACCAACACCACAACAAAAAAATTAGAGCATCCAAACCTGGCTGAAGAGCTTAAGAAAAACAATTCCAAACGTAAAGAGTTAGACTGGGCCAAGTTCAAGGACATACCCAGTGTTGCATCTCACTTTCTTATTGTAGCCTTGTATGGAATCAGCTGCAGATTTGCTTCTTCCAGCTATCTGGCTAGTTTTGCTCTTTCTGTTCTTCTAGTGATTCATGTAGTTTGGTTTGCCATTCATTCAAAGTAATTGTGTCTTGGTCTCTACATTGGGCCTTTGTTTACAAAATGATTAACATTTTTTAATATATATACAAAATTAAAGGATAGTGAAAGATACAGCTGGATTGTTGTAACACCACAAACAGTTGTCTTTGTCAGATGTTTCATTTATCATATGGTGCATTGATCTCAGTTATTTATATTATTTCTTCCCTAGTGGTACATGCAATACAGTTTAGTCATATTCCAGTAAGTATTAAAAAACATGATTTGTATATACTCATTTAAGATGCATAATACAATTGGCATTGTGTATAGACATTATTTAGCTTGGAACTCCAGATGACACTTAAATTTAAACCATTTTGGAGAATGTGCAGTTATAAATGTTTTGATTGTATTGATTTGTATCAACCATTGTAATAGTAATATGAAATTTTGAAATATACATGTCTTTTGCATTTGTAAATCATTAAGCTATTTTCTCATAATATAGATCTACCACTGTATTTTAGTTTAAAGCCTGTTTCTTTTTAAAAATTGTTTTCTAATGTATTGAAAAAAATCTATTCCCTTAACTATGTATGGAGTGTCAATATTTTTGTAATTTAAAAATTATATTATGTATATTGATAGATTGCACTTTCTAGAAATACAGTTCAGTGCATGTTTTTAAAAAAAGATTCATGTTTATTAATGATAACATGTGCTACATATAGATTAAAGTTTTTAACATGATACTATGCAGCTTTCCATCTATAGATGCCTGAGAAATAATCTTAATGTTTTATTTCAATATTTTCTATTTCAGATGAGGAGCAAAATGAAACTGATACAACAAAAGAAGAGTTGTAGAATTTATATGTAATGATTGTGTAAAAATTATATTATTTATGGCTGTAAATGTTGCTTTAGGTTCAGATCCTCAATGAATGATCAAGGCTTTTATTCTTTCAAAGGCTTAACTCTTTGTTATTTTCAGTTAATCTTCTTTTCTTCAGGTAAATAATTCAAAATAAAATGTTCTACTTTGAATTTGTTTACCCCTACATAGCATGACTAAATGCAGTGAGTTAATAAAATGTTTTAAATTTTGAAAAAGTTTGTTGAATTTTTACAATTAACTGGGTGAGAATGAGTTATATACTTGAAAACATCTACAGAGGCTTCTAGCATTAATGTAACTCCACTTGTGTTGCTTCAACCTCAAAAGGTGGTCAACAATCACCACAAATAAAGTCAATCTTTTTCGCTGTGCTCACTACATAATTTTAAACAAATCAAACATGCTAAAAAAATAGTAACAGACAAAATTAATCTATCGATATTTAATCAAAATGCCCATAATTTTGAATCTACAACAACAAATTTGATGGTCAAACTAAATACAGTAAAAATAAACCGATGGCAACTACAAGACTGAAACCATAGATAAAAAGTTTAAAACTATGGAACAAAATTTTACCAATCAATAACCTTACGCCTGTTTTGCAAAGGTTGTCCTGTTTTAAGGACAGTCAGTTATTACTCTGGCAGTGCAATAAACAGCTGAAGTAATTTTTGCAAAATGTGTAGGATAGGTCTCAGAGCACACCTCAGCTATTATTATTATTAAGCTTCCTGATTTTAAAATCATCTCTGAATAGAGTCAAGTAATATACTTGACATGCAGGTCTGACAAGCTTAAGATTCAGTGACATGACTCAACTGTTAAGTTATTGTTTTGGGCCATTTGAAAAAAAGTCAGTCCTGATCCATTGATTCCTGTTTGGGACTATCAGTACCAGATTCCTCATCTTTTTTGTCAGCACACTCAGCTGCTGTCTGTTTACTGTCAGCATTGTACTTGCTGAGGCTGTCTCCACATACATCAAACCCCTGACTGTCACTTGATGAAGATAAATGAGAAGGTGGGGATGTAACATTTTCATCATCATTGCTCACGTTATCACTACCTGGAATCTCAGGTGTAGCCATGGCTGGTGTGAGAGATTCTGTTTCTTCACTACCACTAGAAACAGTTTCCATCACATTGTCAGAGTTAGGTACTATGGATGAATTTGAATCAGACCCAGATGTAACCCTTGTTTCTTCTTCAATAACCTCTGAGCTTTCAGGTGTCACAACTGAATTCATTTCAGATGAAGGTGACGGGGATGATGATGGTTTGCTAGAGGGATGAACAGGTGAAGATGATGCCATATCAGATTGTAGGACATCTGTAGTGTCAGGTTCATGTGAGGTCACAGATTCATGCGACAGTTTCATACGCTTAGCACGAGGCTCATCAAAATCTGAGGTATCAGAATGATCAGCTTCGCTGCTCTGGTGGGTTGAAGGGGTTAACGAAGGTGATGGTTGATGCTGGGTGGATGATTCTGGCTCCACAGACTCCACTAGCCTCTCCAGACCAGCTACACTGTCACATTCTTCTGTGCTGGCTACTTGTGGTGAATGACTAGAATTGGAAGTTGATACAACTTCAGCATAAGTGCGAACTTTCTCAGACTCTGAAGGTGTTGTGTCAATAGCACTGTCTGTATGGGATGAATCGGCACCATCAGATTTTATGTCTAGCTTTGAATCAGTCGATGAAGATGGTGGATTTTCAGCAGCAGCTAAAAACCCAAAACTATGATTCAAAGATGACTGAGAGGAATCTGACAGATGTTCACTGTTCTCAGATTCAGGTAAATTTTGTTCTGTTTCTTTAGAGGAATCTGATGTGTCAGTGGGTTGAGTGGCTGATGTTGAGGGCGAGTCATTAATGGTAGGTACAATTTCAGGATTTTCTTTCTTATCCTCCAAATCCTTTGTTATTGATGCCCAGGGTCGACTATCATCACTTGAAACACCAGCACTTTCATCTGAAAATATATAATGGCATATTGGTCCTAAATGGAAAACAAAATCATACAAGAATGCAATTATAGTAAAAACCCTCACAGTGAGTTTCTTACTATGCTTTAAACTAAGATATATCATAATTTAATGATCAAAACTAATAAATAAAAACAATAACATCTCCATTATTTCAATAAGTGTAAACAAAACTTTGGGAAAAAAAAAAACATTTAGTTACTAATGTAACAGTTAGATGTCCATGAATAATGGCTTAACTTGGGTGCCACTCAAGCTAAAGTGCATCCTGAAATTCAACTACCAACATTTTAAATCTAAGTTAGCGAATCTGGAATTCCAGTGCACCCCAGAAAAATGGAACCATAAGACTAATAATTTAAAATCACTACTATAAACCAATGCCACTTACTTCCATCAGAAGGTATTAATTCTTCAGAGGATGATGAGGAAGAAGAAGTATTAGTGTCATCACCTTCATCATCTGCCATAGCCTCTCCACCATCAGTTGCGACAGGTTCTCCTTCTGTTGTATCCATGGTGACCTGTAACATTTTTTGTGTGTTAATAATGCAAGGAGGATAAGTTATAGTACAATGAAGTGAAGCCATCAACTCAGCAATACAAATATTGAACTGACTTCTGGAAAAATGACAACAGTTAGTGCAACATTTTTTGTACAGCGAGAAGGGAAATAAATAAATTATAAACATTTGCTCCTCTAAGTATAGTGGCATGACCCCCAAACTAAGCAGCAACCCATACTATGAGAAGCATTTCTGTATTTAGTACCAGACGCAGTTGCTAATTGTGTCTTATATAAAACACATTTCGCTGCATGATGAGTAGTTTATTATTTGACTATAGTATTCATGCATACAATACTGACTGCATGCTATACAACAAAAAGTATAGTTAAGAATATGTATGCAAAGCTATTTTTACTGTGGTTTACTTAGAAGCACATGCTTACATCAATTTATAAATAGTTTTGTAATTGACAAATTATTGACTAATCAACTTATCAAAAAATGTATTAGAAACTTATCCAACTTATTGAAGTCTAATTATGTTCACATTTTAAAATGTTACATATATTTGTCCATCTATAATTTTGAAAAATAAAATTTTCTAAGAACTCCATTTAAAAATGACTAGAAGCTAGATCTATCAAGGTAAATAAAGTCAATCAATTACAAATGGACAAAAGTAGTGTTGGAATATTAGACTTTATTATAAGGCTCTAGTCCATTTTATAAGCTTTTTACTTAGGTAACCACAAAAAAATATACTTCGACTTACTTTTAATCCAGCCCTTTTGTTCAAAATTTTTTGATCAATTTGTATGCAACGAAAACTGAAAATTGTCAGTGTTAGATGTTATTATTGTATTACATTTTTAAAAGGGGAAGTAACAAGATAAATTAATTTAAAAAAAAAACAATACTTGTTAGGCAACAAAAAAAGAAAACATCGCAAAACACGCTTTGTGTTAATAACCCTAAACCTAGGTTAATTGTATCAATTAAAGCATAAATTAAAGAAACCTCCAAACCTATGCATATCCTACATTTTTTTAGTTTTTATCCTAACAGTAAAACTAATTTTAATTACACACAGCACATCCCATACTACTTACTGAACTGGCTTACACATCCCAAAACGAACCCAAGCAACGCAGCTTTGGCTAGTGCCTTTATGTTTAGAGGTCTTCTTCGGTGGCTCAATGACTGCATATAGGCTACCACGCGCAGACCGAGTCGACATTTTGATAAAACGCGTTGCATAAAAACAGCTGGGGATCTGGGTCTTATTCCAACTGAAATAAATTTAAATTTTCATCTTTCTGCCCGTTGGTCTTTCAATCGCAGGTCCAGTTTTTATGTGTTGAGCATGTGTGGAGGATATTATATAAAAAATAAGACTAAAATTCTAGATCTATAATCACCATAGTGTACTAAAATATCCAGATCTTAAACACAAGTGAGTTTAGGTGTAAAAAAAAAGACTTACCCAGTTGGAATCCTAAAGCATACAAAAAAATCCATGAATAAGTTTTAATTATGTTAAAACACACAAGACTAAAACCACATGTGGCAGCAAAGGGGTTGGCAAATCCCAGTAAAATAAAAAAATGTGATATCAAAACAAAAATAAAAAATTCTATCATTCTCTTTTAAATATAGAAATCGGAAGAAATGCTGCACCACTTTTCAGTTGTATTGGGGAAAACCGTTTCGACGCGAAATATTTAGGTGTGCTACTCTGTATTATCACGACAATCTAGTCCTACCACGACAGTCTAGTCCTACCACGACAATAAAGTCCTACCAGTCTAGTCCTACCACGACAATCTAGTCCTACCAGTCTAGTCCTACCACGACAGTCTAGTCCTACCAGTCTAGTCCTACCACGACAGTCTAGTCCTACCACGACAGTCTAGTCCTACCACGACAGTCTAGTCCTACCAGTCTAGTCCTACCACGACAGTCTAGACCTACCACGACAGTCTAGTCCTACCAGTCTAGTCCTACCACGACAGTCTAGTCCTACCAAGACAGTCTAGTCCTATCACGACAATCTAGTCCTACCAGTCTAGTCCTACCACGACAGTCTAGTCCTATCACGACAGTCTAGTCCTACCAGTCTAGTCCTACCACGACAGTCTAGTCCTACCAAGACAGTCTAGTCCTATCACGACAATCTAGTCCTACCACGATAGTCTAGTCCTACCACGACAATCTAGTCCTACCACGACAGTCTAGTCATACCACGACAGTCTAATCCTACCACGACAGTCTAGTCCTACCACGACAGTCTAGTACTACCACGACAGTCTAGTCCTACCACGACAGTCTAGTCCTACCAGTCTAGTCCTACCACGACTGTCTAGTCCTACCAGTCTAGTCCTACCACGACAGTAATGTGCATGTATTTAATATTCTCTTTACGTTATGCAAAATTGTACAAACAGTGGAAATTATAAAATAGCTCTATGTCGTTATATAAACAAACCCTACTCTACTACTTATAATAAGACACTGCGGTGCACTGAAAAGCACAGCATGGTACGTAGATTACTTTTATAGTCCCAAAATCTATAGCGATGACGGACAGACGCAGCCCGCTTATATTATAGACTAGCTGCATCCCGTGCTCCGCCACGGTAAATATTTTTTAAATGTACCAACTTGGGAACAGAACAAAACTAAACACAACATAAACGAACGCAAAAAAAAAAAAAAAAAACAACGAAAAAACAAACACAACACTCATAACATAAACACAATTTAAATGCAATCATAAAGGCATAATGCTCACAGTCTAGCCCGTAGCGCCAAATCGCGCCCTTTCCAGTGATTTGCACCCCCCTCAAACTTTCGATTTGCACCCCTCCCCCCCCCTAAAACTTTCGATTTCCACCCCCCCCCCCTCGCAAATTTTTTCAAACCCACTTTGGCGCCCCCTAAGGTCGGCACCCGGGGACATATGCCCCCCCCCCCCCCATCGCAACGCCTCTCCTATAAAACCCCTAGCTTGTCCGCAAACCGAAAGAATAATAATTAGAAAACAGTATAAATAATAGGCAGTATTTAAAATATCCGTGTTTTACCTACAATATTTCACTTTATCCATTCACGCATTTTTTTTCCAGTACTTTAAATTTTAAAAATTTACAATTGAGTTTCATAACTAAAACCATTGCGCACCTAATGAACGTGATGACGCGCCTATAATAGTGCTGAATAGTTGATTAAAAATTATAAGTAATAAACAGTAGGGCCTACATTCAGTGAATAAAATAAATAAAAGATTGCCTTTTATCAATCCATGCTAGTTATAATTTTCTAACAATAATTTCCTCTTACACATCCGAATAATTTGCATTCACATTTTGCTAACTATATTATTGCAACACTAATTCCTTCTATGACGAACGTATATTTGCATTCACATTTTTTATTAGCGTGAGTTTAATGTATTTTTAAATTACCTCCTTTGTCAAAATTAGAAAAGAGTTAAATTAATTTGATTTTTCTACCCTACTGTTATTATGTTATTAAAATGTATCCACTTTTTCTGGGAGCCTAAACGAAAATGATATTTGACATTAATCTTTTTAATACGTTTTAGCAGTTTGCATGTATTTAATATTTTCTTGACGTTATGCGAAAGAGTAAAAACCGTGGCAATTATAAAATAGCTCTATGCCGCTATATAAACAAACCCTACTCTATTACTTTGAATAAGACACTGCGGTGCACTGAAAAGCACAGCATGGTGCGAATGTTTACTTTTATAGTCCCAAAATCTATAGCGATGACGGACGGACGGAAGGAAGGAAGGAAGGAAGGAAGGAAGGACAGACACAGCCCGCTTATATTATAGATTACAGACTAGCTGCATCCCGTGCTCCGCCACGGTAAATCTTTTTAAAATATACCAACTTTGGAACAGAACAAAACAAACAAAAACACAACACAAACACAAACAAAACACAATCACAACCACAACACAACCACATTACAACCACACCACAATCACAACACAACCACAACACAACCACAACACAACCACAAAACAACCACAACACAACCACAACACAACCACAACCACAACACAACCACAACCACAACACACGGTAAATCTTTTTTAAATGTACCAAGTTGGGAACAGAACAAAACTAAATACAACACAAACGAACGCAAAGAAAAAACAAAAACGAAAAAACAAACACAACACTCAACATAAACTCAATTTAAATGTAATCATAAAGGCATATTGCTCACAGTCTATCCCGTAGCGCCAAATCGCGCCCTTTCCGAGCGCCGGCGGAAAATTTCGATTTACACCCTCCCACCTCCCTCAAAATTTCGATTTCCACCCTCCCCCCTCTTGCTACGCCTCTGTTATAAAACCCCTAGCTTTTCCGCAAATAAATTAAAGGCAGTATTTAGAATATCCGTGTTTTACCGACCATATTGCACTTTATAAGTTAATGCATACAATAAAGTTTCATGACTAAAACCATTGCGCACCTAATGAATGTGATGACTTAATATAGTAATGGAGAATAGTTGATTAAAAATTATAATTAGTAAACAGTACATTCAGTGAATAAAATAAATAAAAGATAGCCTTTTATCAATCAATGCTAATAATAATATTCCAACAATAATGTACTCTTATACGTCTGCATAATTTGCATTCACATTTTGCTAATTATATTATTCCAACAATTATTCCGTCTTGCAGATTTTGCATTCACATTTTTAGCGTGAGTTCAATTTATCTTTGAATTACCTCCATTAGCAAAATTACTAAGCAGTTTAATTAGATTTTTCTACCGTACTGTTATTATGTTATTAATATGTATCCACTTTCTCTAGGAATATTAACGAAAACGATATTTGACATTGATCCTTTTAATATGTTTTAGCAGTGTGCGTGTATTTAATATTCTCTTTACGTTATGCAAAATTGTACAAACAGTGGAAATTATAAAATAGCTCTTTGCCGCTATATAAACAAACCCTACTCTAATACATATAATAAGACACTGCGGTGCACTGAAAAGCACAGCGTGGTGCGCAGTTTACTTTTATAGTCCCAAAATCTATAGCGATGACGGACGGAAGGAAGGACACGCTC